CCGCGCCTCCACCTCAGCGCCCGGCGCGTCCGGGAAGTGGCAGTAAGGAGCGCGGGCCAGTCGGTCCGCAGGCTTAACGGAGCAGGAAAGCGCCCGATCCCCAGTGCAGCGAATGATTTCGTTGTCTCTGTCGCGGCATGCCGCGACAAGCGCAGCCCCCAGGAGCACCTGCGGGCAGGTGTGAGAACTGTGGCCACCAGTGAAACGTCAGGCCTGTGGTTTTCCTTATCGCTGCTTGAGAAAGCTGCAAAGGAGCTAGCCAGAGCAGATGAGAAGGGCCTTGGGCAGCTGTGGTTTGAGAAGCCTGGCTTGCGTTCTCACAGCAGCAGGAGGATCATCGGGAAGGAAGGTGAAAGCGTTCTCCGGGGTAACGTTTTCCTTGTGGATAGCTCTGCATCTGCCTGCTGTCCTGGGTGCAGAGGGCCAAGGCGAGTGGGTGCTGGTGCTGCCCAAGAACGGCCCTCCTGGCCCCAGGCCTGGCTTTTGGGAGTGCGGCAGGGGGTGGCAGTCTGTCAGGTCTTGGCGCCGAAGTGCTGAGAGCTGCTAGCTGGTGCTGAGTGGGAAGCTTACTGCTCTTCAGCACTGTTCCTTTCAGTGGTGGCTGGCTTTATTGTTTCTGCCTTGCCCAGGAACTTCTTGCAGACTTCTGTGTCATGTTTCACTTGTGTCAAGTTAGTTTCAATATCCCACTTCAGCTGTGTCTTGCTTTCTGAAGCTTTTGCACTGCCAATAAATAACTTTGGTTTTAAATGTAAGATTTTTAGGGAAATATGGCTTTAATTAACTTCCAGAGGATTTATTGGCACATGAGCTGGTGTGGACTGTCCTGTTGTAGGAACTTGCTTAGCCTGGCAGTCAATTTCTGCGTTGGCGATTGGCACCTTTAAGCTGCCCCAGTCTGTACTTGGCCTCTCCGACTGCATTCATAGGAAAAGACTTAATGTGGAAATTAGTCGTTCACCTGGTCTAGCATCCCTGAAGCTGGGACAACATTCATTTATTCTGGTCTTATGTTTGCTAAATGACCCTTAACTGTGTAATCTACCAAGTGGAAAATGGTAAGAGGCAGTAAATGCTCTTATATGGAAGTTCTCTAGTAATTCAACCCATCTGAGTGTTTGGGATTTATTGCTTTGTTTTGAAAGTGACCTGCAAGTGGAAAAATAGCTCCCTGTTTTTCTTCACATGGAAAGCTCTTGCACCCTTTTCCCCAGCCACACCCTGCTATCCCCACCCTTAAGAAAAAGAAAAGGGAATTTCTTAGTGCTTTTTATACTGAAAGTGAAATGTCCTGCCAGCAGCAGTTATGGATCTTGTTGATACCTGTTTAGTGTGTGTATACATGACAGCCCAAGACTGTACACACAGGTCGTGCTGCCTGAGCAGGTGCTCGCAGGGGCTCTGAGTCCCCATCCCTGGTAGTGCTCGGAGCCTGGCTGGAGAAGGCTGTCACAGCTGGATCCAACTTGGACGTCACCCTGCTCCAAATGGAAACTTGGGCTGGATGGGTCTTTCCATGTTTTATAGCCACTTAATCATTGTGGGAGAATTTTGAAAACCTCATCAGTTGAGGGGAATGAAGTTTTCAAAATTCTCCATAGGGCTTCCATACAGAAAAATGGGATGAGATTTGATAGATCTGATGGGGAAGGTAAAAATGTGTCTGTATGCATGCAAACAAACTTACAAGAGGATTGAGGCAAAGATGGGTAGAAGAGAGGACTTTTTTGTTTGATTTTGGTTTGGGTGTTGGGCTTGGGTTTGTGGTTGTTTTTTTTTTCTTCCTCCTCGTTCTGGCAGTTCAGTCCATTTGAAAAAGTTTATTAGACTGGGAGGCATTCTCTGCATCCTGTCCCTGCAGGGTTTCCTAAAAGAAGGAGAAAAGTGGTATGAATGTAAAGTTGATTGATCTTAAAAAAAAAACAAAACAAAACACACACAAAAAAAAACCCAACCAAACAAAAAACCCAAACAAAACTTACAACTGAAATCTGGAGTAGATGTATTTTTCATGACAGTTAAGTGTTGTAAAAATATTTGTATAAAACCATTTTATATTTTTGGACATTTGACTTGTTTACTTAGAGACTACTTTTAAATTATAAGGAGTATAGGTTACTGTTAGGGAGTGTGTTGGATGTAGGCATCTCATGATTAACAGTAGAACTTTCTGTTGATATACGCAATTTCATCGGCTTTCTTTTTCCAGGTTTCTTGAATGTTATAAACAGAAAATCCCATCCTGCATTCCTGTAGATGAATGTTTAGGAAGTATGACAACTTTATTTAATAGTTGGTTTTGTTATGTTTTTTAAGCTTTATGTAATGGTGACTTTTAAACCAGAAAGTATGAATCCTGGCTAGGGTTTGGTGAGGGTTTTTTTGTTAGCTTGGTAGAGTTTGTTATGTTGGTTTTTTGTTTGTGGTGTGGGTTTGCTGTAATTCTTTGGGTAAGTTTGTGCAGTGAATGTTGCTGACTGCTCCAGCTTTGTCTGCAATAGGGTGGGTAATGAAGTGTACTTTTGCTGTACTGGGGGAGATGAGGTGGTGGTACAGCATTTACATGGGGGCGGTTAAATTCCCAGCTGTGGACCCGCCTTCTGTGGGAGCTGACATCTTGATGGGGACAAGGATATGCTGTTTAATCGGAGTATGAATGAGAAACTATGTTTTCTGGTATTGGAAAGCTAAGATTTCACATTTAGTGAAGTGATCCAAGTGCGGTCGCTTAAGAGCATTTAAACAGTACTTCCTGATGTCTCATTCAAAGCCTATATTGAAATATTTGGGTCCTGTTATGCAATGTTGTGATGAGTGTTTCCTTTCTGCTTATTAAAATATTGCATAAATTTCAACATTTCTTACAGTGGACTGAAGAAATAGATATGACAACAATGGGTATACTGAAAAGCTTAAAGTTAAGATGTTTTAGTGGAAAATACGTTTGATTTATATCTTAAGTTTTAATGGTTTAACTCCAAACTATCTGCAAAATAATTAGGTTTACCACTTTTCAGTATTACACAAAAGCTCAACCAAAATGCTGCGGTATACGTTTTTGCCAGACCTCTGTATCCCTTGTATTAAGATTTCTCTGGAGTGAAGTTTGCGTCAAGCAGACCCAGCTGGCTTCTAGTCTACAAAGCTGTTAAGTTTAATCTTGTTCCAGTTTAATTTTAATGTCATGGATTGAAATTATATGCATGGCCGTTTTTCTTTTTTGCGAAGAGTTGGATTTGGAACGAAAGCAAAATGGCTCGAGGACGCAAGAGCAATAGCATCAAACAGAGCGACTTCACTAACAGCACCAATCCTCAGGATTTAGAGAGAAGACTTTTTGTCGGCAATTTGCCCACAGACCACATGACTCGTGAAGAAATGGAAGAGATATTTTCAAAATATGGCAAAATCAGGGGTTAGTATATTATCTTATGCCTTTTTGTGGCTGGGAATTCAGTGAGAAATATAACTTTCATGCTTGTCAAATGCTATTTAATGGTGATGAGAGGAGTGACTAATGTTGTTCCTAAAAAGTGACCTTTTAATGATAATTTTCTCTGCCTGCATTTTCTGTGAAAAAGTGATTCCTTCAGTACAGCTGAAATGTAATGCATATCTATCGGCTGTGTTTTAGCTTTTGGGGTTGCAGTGTGATGTTACAATGCTCTTTCAAGTGACTTCATAGTCTCTTAATCAAATCTTGGTCACTTCATGGGCCCTATTTTGGTCACTGCCTTGTCAGGAGGAAGTTGATCTGCAAAATATATTTCAGAGTCTTTAAGCTCTGCATTTTGGTCCTGGTAGATTTGATTTTCCCAGGAAACTTGCATAGTCGTTTCTGGGTAGAGCCCCTTTGCTTGTTCATCTGGTGGGGTTACATGATGGCCTGGGTGCGGGTTAGTACTGTCCCTTAGTTGTAACCGGTCTTGCCCTGCTGTTAACTTTTCCAGCCCTCAGCATGTACCATGGCTATGGGTTCGTGCAGTATGACCGTCTAGAAGATGTCCAGGCCGCTCTGGACGGTGAGAAGGGTCGCCTTTATAAAGGGTATAGATTAGGTAAGGAAAACTGATCCGTGCTCTCCTACTGACCCCAGCATGCATTCTGGTAGAAGGAGTGCTTTGTTTTAAAGCCCTCTGGAAAGATCACTATGTGAAACTTGCCTGGCATTAGTCTAAAATCACTTTTACTAGGTATGTATTTGCCTTCTGAGTTATTTGCTGTAAGTGCTGTGTGGTTCATCTTGCTACCTAGGTCTTACTCTGAATTTATTTTTCTGTGTTAGTATTTGAAAAGCTCTGTTACCCTGTGTAAGAAACTGTTCAACCTCTAAGCCCTGGAAAGTGGTCATTGAAACCTCATGCACATAGTTTTAAAAACATTTGTAAACCAATATTGGGATTCATCTTGACAGGTTCAGAGGAATTGCTCACAGCACTTAGCAGCTTGTTGATAAGTAATCTTAACTTGGATTTTTTTTTTTGCACATGTGAAATCAATCTGTAAGTAGTGCTATAAATACTTGGTGCTTGAAAAAGACCATTTTCATGAAGATGAAAATAATTCTGCTAAATATGCTGGGAGCAAACTTAAACAGAAATGGATGGTTAGAAATCTAAGAGTAACCTATTAAATGCAAGCAAAAAAATTACTGTCGAAGTAAGCCTATAATTTGAAGAAAACCAGTTTGACTTAGAAAGGAATGAAAGGAGCAATAAATAATAACTTGTGGGAAGGTGTGTGTACAGTAACAAATAGGAGTCCAAAGGTGGAAATGGAGGCAAATAGACAAGGAGGGTAGAAGGATACAAGAAGAGGCTATGGCCAGCATTATCCAAGTCTAGAAGCTTAAATAGGAACAACTACAGCTGTTTTAGAAGCTAAGGTGTAACTGTCTGGAAATTATAAACTTTCTAACTGGAAAGGACCACCTAGTCTTCAGTTAATATTTCTGCTGTCTGTTTTTGAAGAGGCAGAAGGTGTTTGTTTTTAGTATAATTTCCATTTCAGTAGCAACATAAAAAGAGATACAACAGCAGCTACCGAAACGAGACCTCTCAAAAAAATTAAATCTAACACCTGTGAGGCTTAGTGAAATGAAGGCCTGCCTAGGCTGTTAATGTTGTTTTTCCACAAACCTTGGAAAACTAGGGAGTTTCCAGGGACCTAGCTGAGCGCTGTGGATGTGCCAACAGGCAGTGTAAATGGGATGAGCCTGGCATCAACCCCTAATAACAAAGTGATTCTTTTCACCTGACAGTGAGAAGGGAATTAATTAATGCCAATCAGAATAAATCCCATCAAACTAACTTATTCTTATGATACTGCCAAGCTTTATGGCTGAAATTAGCAGTGTTGATGTAAAAGACTCCTGTAATATGTTTGATTTCGTTAAGAAACTAGAACAATTAAAAAGCAACATAGGGTTAAATGGATTTCAAATTAATCTCAGTATAACGTAGATGGAATTGCTCAGTGCTTTGAGTGGTGTTCTGGATAAATTGATTCCTGGCCATACAGTGCTTTTATAAGTGACTTGGAAGGAAAACACAATCAAGTTTTAAAAAGAGAATGAAATAATGAAGATTGAGTCACTGATGGTGAAATGACCTGGACTTCTTCCTAAGCTGGATGCAGGCAGAACTGAACTTTCAGTAAAGCCAGAAGGGAAGATCTGCACCCAGCAAGAGCGCTTTTGTCATCCTCAGCTGTACAAAACGCAGATTTGTAAGTAGGGAGCTTTTGGTACTTGTGGGTTTTTGCTGCTGGAATACTGTGTTCAGTTCTGGTATGCCTGGTTCAAAAAGGATAATGCTAAATTGGAGAAGACTCACAAAAACCTGAAGAAGGCTTAAAGAGTTGAAGAGCAAGCCCTGGCAAAAGCCTCAAGATAAAGGAGTGATGTGATCTGTGTGTTACAGAGAGACCTGGAGATAAGTGAGTTTTAATCTAGTAGGTATAGGTATGACAAGTCCTTAAATGGAAATAAATAGTTTTCTTGAACAGCAAAGTAATTTACTTCTGGAACAACTTACTGGAGCTCTGGTGGTTTCTGTGCTCTGAAGACTTCTAAATTGGAATTCAGTGTTTTGCTAAAAGATAAGCTCTAGTTCAGTGTCACTGCTGCACTTGAGATAGGAATGTGATTCAAGAAACTCTTGTCACCTGTGTTTATTCAGAAGGCTATACTGTATGATTACAGTGGCCCTGTCATCTCAGAATCCTACAGGACAGAAGACTTTTTTTTGTCTCTAAAGTTTTGTCAGTGTTCAAACACTTAACCTGTAAATGCTGTTGGCATTAAATAAAATGTTATTAAATCTGTTCATTTTGCACAAGAGAAGGATCCATGTCAAAGGTGTTTTTTCTTCTGGTAAAATATTTTTGTTCAGATTTAAATACATTTTTTTATTTGAAAGAAATGTATGGTATTGAGTGTAAAAATCATAATAGGTTTCTGCAATGGCATTTTAAAACAGAAAATAAAAATAATCTTAAACCAAAGAAAGCAGATAGTGTCTTGCTTAAAGATAACACTTGGCTTTAAGGGAAAAAAATTCTCAACTAAAAAATAAATGCAAGGAGAACAGTTGATTCAGTTATGCAGTCTGAATAGTAAATTTAATTGCTAATAATAAGGTAAAAGGCTTTGGGAGAGTTTAATTCCAGTGTTGCATTATACTAATACTTCCACAAATGCATAGAAGTGTTTTCGTATCTTTAATGAGTAAAACTACGTAGGGAATAAATGTCCATCAAATTTAGTTTGTGTCAGTAGACAATGCAGCTGTACTTGATCCTGGAGAGACTGCTTTGTGGTCCTGTGAATGTTGTTATGCTGCATTTGTAGTTGATGTTCAGATTACACTTGCTTCTCCCTCTGGCCCCAAAAAGAGAACACACTACTGCTTGATTGACAATAGGAGCAAAAATTAGAACTAATCCCTTAATTCTAATTTTAATCTTGAAAGTAATAAAGGATAGTTTGGGAAGTTACAGATGTTAAGACTGAGTCTGCCTAAGGACATTGTGGCGTGTTTATTTCCTTGCAAGAGCTTTGGAAGTAGTTAATGTAAATAACTAATAAGAAATTTTAGTTGTCAATTGATTCTCAGGGAGCAGATAGGAACTAGGTTTGTTTTGTTCTCTTCCTTGAAAGGCGCTCAGAGTGAAACGTCTGAAGTAATTTCTGTTTGTTCTTGCTCCCCTCCTGTACATTATTTGCTCTTCAGTCAGCTGTTATGGAAGGCTTTGTTTCTTCACAGTAGAACGATATGGGTCCCTGCCATTTCTGGGCAACTTCACTTTTTCTGGTTGAGGACAAGACTCTGTTTCTTCAGCTTTCTTACTTTGTATTCATTTCATGGCGTTTTTCATGGAGATACTCAGAAGCCAACCAATTTTCAAATTTCTGATCTGTTGCATCAGTTTGCATCATGTTAACAGTGGTGTTTTGAACGCACCATGTTGACTTCATAAGGAGCTTGTGCTTCAGGCTCCTTGGATCCCATTTCCTCAGTGGTGGAGGCTGTACAACTTAATGCTGCAGCAGTCCCTTGGAAGGCAGTTGCATGTGCTGCTTGAGAACCCTTGGATTGTTTTCAACAAGGGTAGCGGCATGCTCCATTGAATAGGACTGGCTGTGAACTTAAGACTGTGCTGGCCATCAGCTTCCTTTCTCGGAGGTTTTCAGACTCTGCTTTTTCTCCTAGAGTCCATGAGTCGCTTTCTGCTCGCTCATAGACTGCAGAAGAAAGAGGTTCTCTTATGGACTGAAGAGTCTGGATGTAGGCCTGAACATAAAGGGTTAAAACTTCACCCAAGCTGTCCACCCTATTTTGAAGTCAGAGAAATCCCTGAAAATTTCATTACCTTGTACTATCTAAACTTAATAAAAAATTGTCAAAGTGACAATGTCTCTCTGCTGAATGGATTTTCTTGCACCATCTGGATGTTTTTGAGCTTAAGTTGCTTTCGTTTGAATTGTGCTGATGATCTTTTTTTTGTTCCGTAGCATTGAACAGATGGGTTGATTATTCTTTACAGATATTAATAAAGCAGTGGAAAGAAGAAATGTGAATAAGGCTTCATCAAGGTCCAGTCCGGCACGAAGGTAAAGTACCTGGAAGCAGTGAGTTATACTAGGAAGGTCAGGCTTTTAGGGCATGAGCCCAGCAGCCTGTGCTAAATGTCTGTGTCTCTTCCCTACTGCCACCTCCCCAGTCAAACAGAGATGCTCAAGCAAGACAGTTGGAAAATGGCTTCTCCACCTCTAAAGAGCCCTTCTGGTGCTGACACCTCAGGAGGCACGAGGGAGAACTCGTGTCTGCCGCTGTTACTACAGCTAAGTGTTACGTTTTTCAGCACAGGTTGTAAGAGACTTGTGAGGAAGAATACTCTTGATGTTTGCTGCTGCCGCTTCAAGTATCAGAGAAACCGAGGCATATCTAGAGAACGCCGAAGGGCTGTAGCATTCCCAGTGCCATGCTGCAGAGGTCTTTGGGATCTTTCCACTTCTGATGTTGAAAGCTTCCGGTGGTGAAATGAGACTGGAAATGAGCACGTGAGCAAAGCACAAGACAGAACAAACGTCTCTATTGCACTGTCCTGTCTGCATGTGTGCTGGCATTGTCAGCACCTGGAGCCAGTCACCTTCGGTGCAGTTAGAGTGATGTGTACCTGCCAGCTTCTCCTGGTTTCTCACCCCTTGGTAGGCACAGTGTGTGCAGCTCCTGCACATCCTCTGTGTGTGAAGTCACAGGCAGATGGGGAAGACACGGACTGTCCTGTCACAGGAAGACGACTTCAGTTTCCTTTCCGTGGCATTACTAGGGAGCACACAAAGACTTGCTGTGGTTATAGTTTGGTATAAGATGTGCATCTTCTGTGCCTATACTGTAAAGCTTTCCACACAAAGGAGTGTTGTTTGTTGGACTGGAAGATAATCAAGCTCTCACATGTCTGGTGTGCTCTACTAACTTGACCTGTTAAATTACTGAAAATGAGGAAAAAGTGCACCTAGCAAGACATCTACCATGAGGAAAAAAAATAGAGAACAAGTAGCTGCAATTCTTGGCATCATCTAGGTCTTTTGTATGTGCTGCACTTACGCTGCACAGGGACAAATGTACTTGCAGAAACCAGCATATGGGCATCAGGCTCAGGAGATGCTCAGGCACACATTTGGGGGTCCCTCTTACAGATGCAGCAAGCCTTGGGCCTCGGCAGTGTCAGGTGTGCTCAGTGCTGGCATGAGGACCCCAAGAATACTGCAAGTGCATGAGCAGCAGGCAATAATGACACACCTTTGGCCTCAGCGGCATCACAGGTATGTAACACTGAAGGCGCCGGCAGCACTGTGGGTGTGAGAGGTAGGCACCTATACCGTGAGCGTTGGTCCTTGGACCACGCTGCAGAGGGACGAGCAGCACTGATGCCATGGGCATTGGGGCCTGTGTCATCCTGCATGGATGCAAGAGCAGATGCCTGTGTCACGGGCCCTGAGGAGCACTGGAGGTGTGTGAGCCATGGACGATGGTGCTGTGGGCACCAGTCTGTGGGCTGGACTACTGTGACAGCTGCCGAAGGCTTTGGTACCACTGTGACAAGCACCGGATTCCAGCTGGCACTGCAGACGCCGTGGCCATCCCGTGTCGCTAATGCCAGGTCCCAAGCAGCACTGTGGGCACGGGTGGCGATGCGGTCATGGGCATTGAGTCCTGGGCACGGCTGTGGACAATGGACTCTGGACCACACTGCAGGCTTGTGAACGACAGCTGCCGGGGTGCAGAGTCACATTCAGCACTACAGGCAACAGTGCTGGGCCAGCGGTACTGAGTCCCAAGCAGATGCAGGCAGTGGTGCTGATGCTGCAGGAGTCGGACCATGGTGACAGAGGTACGGAAGCAGAAGGCTGCTGTGCCTTCGTGCTGCTGCCTCTCTGCATGCAGCAGGGCAGCGATGCAAGAGCAGAGGGGACCTGCGCTACATCTGTACTTCTGTTGCAATTGTGCGTTGTTCGTTCTGGATCTTTTTGTCTCTGCAGATAATGGATATGGCCTGTTCTGGTCAGCCCCACTTCAGCTGGAATAAATGTCATATGCCAAACAATTACACTGCATCTGGCTGTTTTGCTATATAGTCTTACAGCTACAGAAAGATCAGTTACTCAATATCCATTAGAGCAAATCAGAAGTTTCCTCTGAGCTTCTTCCATCGTTCATTGTAGGTTGGGGGGAAGGGGGCAATGATGTGTCTCTCTCATGGGATGTCGTTTCAATACAGATCACAAGCAAAAAGCTAATTTGTGTGTCCAGGAGTCTGAGGGAGTTTACACTTGTTTGTGTGTGAATACAGTGTTTCTTTTACATGAGGAGGCTATATATGCTCTTGGTGGCAGCTCTGTAGTTTGTCCCAAGATCTGTTTTGTATCTAACGTAAAAATAGAGAATGCCAGCACTCCTGTGTATCCCTCAGCACAGCTGGGTGTCTAACCACCGAAGTCCATGCGCATCCATCTCGTTACTGTCCGCTCTGCCTGACACTGAGCTTGGGCACATATGACTTGCTGCTTCCACTGTTCTCTCCAGGTGACTGCTATGTGAATGCACTGTAGTGGAAGCAGACTTATGTTCTGCTTATCTTTCATAAGCTAGATTAGGCTGGTAGAGGACTCTCAAGGTCTGTCAAGTTCTGGAAATAAAAAGATTCAAAAAGCTGGGGGTTTTTTTCTTTTTTTTTTTTTTTTGTGATGGTCAGTATCTTTGGGAAAGAACATTCCGAACACATGAAGCTCAGTAGTTTCTCTGCAAGACTTTTTTACGTTTGGCTTGGACTACAGTGAAGTTATGTTTTATTCTGGAAACAAAATATGACCTGGAAAAAAACTCTATTGTTTTAGGAAAAGATGAAGACTGGAACATTATTCTTCCTTGCCTCTGAAGACAGTGCAGTACAAAGTCTGAATGAGCTGGATCATTCAGATATGACGGAGAAGCCTGTTGCTGCTGAGGATGCAGTGCTGGTTGGGTTTAGTACCCTCTTACCATAGGGCATCATAAGTGTAAGACTGGCTTTCTACAGAAACTATGCCTTCAAATCCAGGACACAGCAGAAGCTATCATTGCTTTCTGCTAGCAGCACAAACCCAACCATGACATGGAACCTACGGTGTCTTTGGTCACAACAAGCTCCTTTTTTAATCATATGCCAATAACAACTTATTTCAGGTATTCTGCTGTCATTGACTAGTGAATTTAATGGATCCCTGGAATGCTCCTGGCTATTGCATATTTTGTGGGTATTAGGCTACAGCACCTTGAATTCTCTCAAAGAATTTGCAAAACCACATTTGATAGATGATCTGTGGCTGACATTGCAGGCCGGAGACCTTGAAACGGTGTTTTCTGAGGTGCCCATTCACTTCTTCCACAGGTGCGCTACAGTTTTAGTGATGCTCCATTAAGGAGCTTTCTGGGTCTTGTTTGGCTATGTTAAACATTAGAACTAAGAATCTTCCCCAGGCTGCTTCAACAAATATGTTTTTTTGGCAATTCTTGCTGTTGTGGGATAGGAGGGAGGATTCAGCTGCTGAGAGAAGGGTCACTTTGGCACTTCAGGTAAGAGATCTAGGGGTAACTGTACTTGGGTCGTTAGCAGTCTAATGGGATTTCCCTGATGTTTTCCTCAGAGAGCCATATGCCTACGGGGATGGCCGAGATGCCAGACGTGACCGCTCCCCTCTTCGGGGGAGCCCACGGAGAGAAGTCAGAGATGGCAGGGATGGTAGAAATGGGCGAGATTCCAGAGACACTCGAGACATTCGAGCTAGAGACATGCGTGACGCCAGAGACCACAGGGACCCACGGGACCTGCGAGACCCACGGGATATCAGGGATCCAAGAGACTTGCGGGACCCTCGTGATGTTAGAGATTTTCGTGACCCACGGGAGCCACTCTATGATCGATACAGGGATCAACGGGATATGAGGGATCCACGGGATATGAGAAATCCACGAGATTTGAGGGATCCACGGGATATGAGAGACCCTCGGGACCCTTTGTACAGGTAATCTTCACAGGATTGTATTTGCCAACATGTTTTTATGGTGTTTGTGCCTCAATGGATGCACTGGTTTGCATGGTGTCAGGCATTTAAGATAAGGAAATTGCTCTGGGTGGGAACACTTGGGTGCCTGCATTGTGTCTTGTGGGGAGCAGGTGGGTACTTCAGAAATAAAACTTGAGGAAGCTCTCTGTGTGGTGCATTGGCCAAAGTTACTGCCTGAGTTTGTGCTGGAGCATGGAAACCCTTGCTGCTTCTGTAAATGTTGCAGACGAGATGAAGCTTATGACCGTTACCTTCGCCTTGAAGACTACTATCGGCGGAAGGATGACTCTTACTATGACCGTTACAAAGAACATTTTGATAGAGCACCAGTGAATTCAGAAGGTGAGTACCTGTAATGTTTTCGTGGGCAGATTCACATCCTCTGGGAGGATGTGGGAGATGCATGCAGTGCTGAGTGCGTTCCATTCCGTGGTGCTCCAGGCAGGTCCAAAGGGCATTAATCGTTCTGTCCCTGTGGCTTGCTTTCAGACCGTTTGAAGCGTGAGGAGCGGCGCCGAGAGGAGCTGTACCGTCAGTACTATGAGGAAATCAAGAGGCGTTTTGATGCGGAGAGACCTGTGGATTGTTCAGTGATAGTGGTGAATAAACAGACAAAGTAAGAAAATAGTTAATGACCAATTTTATTACCGCACAGTAGAAGAAAAGGGAACTAAAGTTAGTCCTGCCTTGAGGCTGTTTGTCTTACAGGTTGCTCTTCAGGAACATGACTTTAGAGCCCTCAGAAAGCTACAGCTCCTGTTGCTGTTCTGGGAATATATGTTGATGAGATGGAGAAGTGTATCTTGTACTTTACTTTTCTGTCCTTCTTGTCCCTGTCACTAAAGCTTCTCCTGATACTTTTCTGCCTATTCTTCATATCAGCCTACTATCACAACAGGTTATAGTGGCCTGTACTTGTTATTCATGGGTTGAATGATATGAAACTTGTTATTACGTGCCAACCAGCAGATAGTACAGAGCAGTTGTCAGGGTGGAATTGTGGGGGTGTTCGTTTCAGAGCTCCTGTCACATTGGTTTCTAGGCCAGATACTGGTCGTTGCCATTAATGCCATGTGCAAGAAATATAAAATCACTGTTGAAAGTAGTCATGAATGGTATCAAAAGCATGTGTGAGTAGTAACCAGGGTGATCTCATGTGGCAGTCTGAACATTGACTGAGGTAACGGGGCGGGTGCTGTGTTGGGAACCGGGGGGTACAGCTATGCCTGGTACGGTGGGAGGGGGACTGTAATGATGGCACCAGTCTGATATCTGTATCTTTACAAATAAATATATTGAAGAATAGCAAATATATAAACAAATCATAGATCTGGCTTGGAGTCTGAAGAAAATGTTTGCCAAGGGGAAATTTAAAGCTCTGTCTCCTTAGCGCTTCAGAAAAAAGATCAAGTGTTGCTTTTATTTAACTTTGCTATATCTGTGAGGCAGAGAGAGAGAGCTGGCGCTTGCCTGATCTGGTGGTAGAAGACAGAACAGGAAATCAGAACAAAGGAAGCAGTGAAACTAGAAATAAACTTCTGTGGTTTGCTTTTAATGGAGTTGATTACCTGTTGGAACAAATCTTGAAAGAAAATGTTAGATTCTTTATCCCTTGGTGACTAAAAGTCTAGAAGACTTGGAAGATATTCTGATAGTTACTGTACTTGATACAGGGAGAAGTTTTTTGTGCAATAGGATCAGCTTAATATCCTAAGGATCGTTTTGGGCTGTAACAGCTACAAACTTTAAGAGCTGGAGCATGTTAATAAATCTTAGGTACTGAAGCATTGATGTCACCTACTATAAACCTGTTGAAAGACGACTCCCGAATGATTTAGATACATGATCAGTGTAACTTAGAAATCCTTAAAAAGACAGTTGGCAAGGGGGGAATGGTTTTAGTCACCATTACAATGTTTGCATCCGAAGATGATAAATTGAACCTCTTGCAAAACGCGTGGGTGCACAGAGACAAAATTTCTCAGAATGCATATGCAGTCAGTATTGCAGTTTTGATACTGAATATAGTAAGCTTTAAAAAAGTCTTGAAAACTTTAAGCTCAGCCACATGAGCTATGGTTTGTGCTTGGAATGGGAAGACTGGAGTACAGGGGATACAGGAACAGTGGATCCATAGAGGCTGTGTTGATAGTGGGTTAGAGGAGAAAGCAGCTAGTAGAACGAATGAGCAAGACAATAAGGAATAAGGCACATTTGAACAGTTAAGATACTGAACGTAGCACAAGTAACTGACTTCTGTAGATTGGCTGCTCTGCTGTGTACCCCTTAGGTCTCTGCAGACATAAATTACCTCACTTAATGAGTTCAGTTTAAACACAATTATATGTAAACAAATTATAATAGTGTAAATCCCTTTGCAAACAGTATTTCTCAGCTAAGCTGAGGCTTGATTTGTAATTTATTTCAGCTAAACTGAAATGACTGATTCAGATCAAAATAAGGGCTTTTATATTATTGTAATTGCTTTATTACTGTCCTGTTAAACGTTACCAAGTTTGGCAAGCCATTAGAAAACCAAATCTGAGATGACAGGGAGGGCAAATGTGCCAGGCTTTCTGTTTCTGTATGTGACTGACTTGTTAAACTCTACTGGCTTTGCTTTGTGGTAGGGAGTATGCGGAGTCAGTGGGGCGGAAGGTGCGGGATCTGGGCATGGTAGTGGACCTGATCTTCCTCAACACAGAGATGTCACTGACGCAAGCCCTCGACGATGTGAGCAGAGGAGGGTCTCCTTTTGCCATTGTCATCACCCAGCAGCATCAAGTTCACCGCTCTTGCACTGTTAACATCATGTTTGGCACCCCACAAGGTACTGAGGTCTCATTAGGCTGTGTAGTTGTGTGGTCACTCTGAACC